GTCTTGAGAGTTTTCGGGTAAAAATTTGACGACGGATCAGTTAAAAATTACACCGGGTCTCACTAAAGGACGGATATCACTTAAGTGACATGGCACCCCTCATTAGGGCACCCTCCTCTCCTTCCCTTCCATTTCTGATCAGCAGCCCCTTCACCTCCTTCTCTCTCTAAGTTTCACATTTTGAAAACTCTCTCACTTCTCTATAAGATTTCTTCACCTAAATCTCTCTAAACCACCAAACTTCCTTCACAAAGATTGTTCCCCTCACTCTCCTCTTCACAACCATACCATTTTCATGGTGTGAATCAAAAATTTTGTGTCCCTTATCATCCCAAACAGCCACGGTTTTGTGGAGAGCAAAGGCTATGGAGTTGTGTTCTTGAGCTCTCTTGAAGAATCACACTTGCTTGCTTGTTTCCTTTGATTTTTGGGTAAGTGTTCTTAAATTTTTTTCATGAAAAATATCATCTTTTCTTCTTACGTTCTTGAGCCTAACTCATGAGCATGTTCATGAAGGTGTGTGCTTGCCTAAAGGTGTGTTCTTGGTGGAAAAAGGTGGAGACTTGAGCTAAAGGAGAAACCTTGAAGATGTAAGCTCCCACTTGGGAAATATGAACCAAAAAGCCTCCCTTTTTCTTGTTGAGTGCCTTGGTTTTGATATGTTCATGAGGAGAATGTTGTTTAAAATTTTGTAATGTCATGGTTTGATGATGATTCTTAAGTGTGTGTGTGTTTGGAACCATGGAATGATGGATTGGATGACTAAAGGTGCCACCTTTGGACCTTTGAGTGATGTTCATGTAAAAAGATGACTATGAACTCAAAAATGGACCATGAACATTTCAGCCATATCATGTAAGGATAGGGTTTGATGACAAAAAAATGTGATTAAGTTGTTAAGTGTGGAAAAATGATTAGAAAGATTAACTAGGTGGGTTAACTCTAAGTAAAACTCACTAATCATGATTAATAATGGCTAAAAATCCTAATTAATATAGCTAATCAAATCTTCCCCATAAAGTACATAAGGGTTTAGTTGTGTTAAAATTAAGGAGATGATGAATTAGGTGATTAATTAAGGGTAGAGATTAATTAACAAAAGTAATCAAGGATTTAACTCTAAAAATGGACTAAAGTAAGGTTTAGGTACACTAATTAAATAATTAGTAAAATTTAAGTATCATGACATAATGGGACTAAGGATATTTCATAATGTGACTTAATAATAGAAAAATCCAAGAATTAATGTGAATTAGGATTTATAATCAAAAGTAATTAAGGTTTGTTAAGTAAACACATTTAAGGCTAAGTAACCAGTTTTTAGGAAAAATTGGGGAGAGCATATCTTCCTCAACAGAGTTCATATATGGATGTGCCTTATATCAAATTGAAGATTGAGATGTTATCTACGTGGTGTCAAAATTTGGTATCAATTGAAGATATATTCCATTCTGTATGTTCGTTTGAGTGAGGACTGCACATGGAGGCATGTGCAGGGGCGCTGTACATGGCTGACACTTCCATGAATTTTTTCTCCCTCAATTATTACTCAAATTAGGCTCATAATATGTCTAATTAAAGATAGAGGTGTCTAGTTGTCTAAATAAAAATTTTAGAGCAATTGATTTAGTAGAATTTTCATAATCGCAGAAATGGTAAAGGATGTTTAGGGCCCTGTTCGGAGTTGGCAAACAGCTTTGTTTGTCCAACTTCAAATGGTGATAACCGGAGCTAGGAAACTTCAAATGAGGCATATGATACCTTTTTGGAAAGGTAATTGAGTCTAGATTAACATACTAAAAGATGATAATTTTATAACAAATGAGTCACGCCCAGTAACTAGAAAACAGAAGCATGTACAGTTATGGAAAAACTGTAAAAGTGATATTTAAGCTAAGTGGGCTTAGGGGAACCCTTAGTAACTTATAATAATCATAAATATGACTTGGATGAGTTGAAAATAATCTAAGTGAGCCTTGCATGCGATTCTAAGCTATGTAAGTAATTGAAGATTAAAGTGGCTTGTAATAATGCACTAAAATATGTAATAAGTAATAATTGGTCTAGGCTTGTAATGGGCATATTATTGGCATATGAGTATGAAAAGTGGAATCATTAAATGATTAAGTCGTGGATATGACTTGATTAATTAATATGTAATTAATGATGTGAATGGTTCCTACTCTAGGTGTGCCTAGAGAACCGTGCACTTGAGGATTTTGTTGGAGCATACGTATTATATTGGAGTGTGGGCTTGTGCTAAGCTCCCTAAGGTAAGCTCCTAGTTCTAGTTGACTCCTCTCTCTTATGGCCCCACCATGATGGTGGGCATTGTGGTTATATTGTATGAAAGTATATGGTATGATGTATATGTGCATTCATTCACATTCATATAGATGTTATATGATCTTGATGTTATGATGATGCACTGATGATATATGTTATGAGGATCCTGGCCAGTGATCATGGTATGTAGGCTGCCTATGACTTGACTCTGGGAGCTATTTCATACTGAGGTTGTGTTGACTGTCTATGGCTTGACCCTGGAAGTCACACATGTGTAACCGTCTATGGCTTTGACCCTGGGGTTACACAAGGATGATATGATGATGCTATGTTTATGCTGTATGTCTGTATTATATGCTTTATATCTGACTTGTTATGCAGGAAGTGGGCTCAGGGGTTAGAGGATCCTCTATGAACCTTGAGCTTACTGAGATGTTGTTATCTTACCCCGTTTGGGGACATCATTTCAGGTACCCAGAGTAGTGGTGATGCTTCTAGGGGCAAGGCCCCCGCATTGGAGTAGTTGATGATGCAGCTGATGATTTTATATTATGTTTAGATTTGATGTTGGCATGTAGACTTGTTAACATGCTTAATTATTTTATGGAGATTATTGTATGTATTTATTTAGGCTCATGATAGTATTCTTAGAGCCATGGATTATTTACTAATACTTTTATACTTCGAATTAATATAGACTTGATGCATGTATTCAGTTAATTTGGGCATGGAGCCTTATTAGTTGTATTGACCCATTAAGGGGATTGCAGTCCGTGTGGGACTTGCAAGCTATCTGTTTAAATTGTTGTATTAATTAGGTTATCTGTATGTGTGGAATCATGTTTCTAGTTATCCGAAATACAGCCGTTATGCTGTCCGTGAGACTCCGTCAGGAATGACACTTGATGTCATATCTTGATGGTCAATGGCCACTAATACTGGCTCATGGGATTAATTAGTAGATGTATATTCAGATTTATGCTTTTGCAGGATCTGACGTGAACATTTTTAGAAATATTTTTATGAAATGTTTTGGAAAAAGTTTACTCGTATTTTTATAAGATGCTTTATTCCTTTTCAAATAAAGTCTTCCGCTGTGAATGTTAAATATCATGTATGTTAACAACCGGAGTACTACGGGGTGTTACACATACATTATTTTTTATGCAAACTCTATAATCAAGTTCTACGAGGCATTAAAATGTTGCATCAATACGACTTTAATCGTTCACTTCATTAAAAAATACCTCACATGTTATTATACTGCTCATGTGTACTGTTTATGAGTTTGATTATCAATGTGTGTGACGTATAGTATATCATTATTAGTTGTCAACTATATGATTAAGGCCCGAGCTTTTTAAAAAAATGATTTTTTATGTATTATTTTTTTAAAAGAATTTTTTTGAAAAGATAAAGTTATTTCACGTTTGCATGTATGATTTAAAAATCATCTTTACATAAAAAAGTTGTTTTGATATTAAAATAAAAAAGTATTTTTTATATATAAAATTACAATATAGAACAGATAAAATAGCATAACCGCGGGATAAGGAGAGATAAAATAGGTATGATAGGATGAGGTTAAAATTGTATTTTAAAAATGGGAATAATATCTGTCATTTTAAAGGATATAAGTTTATATCATTTTAGATCGTAATCGTTGATTTCCGTCCATCAACAGTTATAATCTATTGGATCAAAATTATTAATTAATTAATAATAATTTGGCCTATTAAGTTTGACCCAATAAATTATAACCGTTGATGGACGAAAATCAATGATTAGGATCTAAAATGATATAAGCTTATATCCGTTAAAAGGATAGATGTTTTCACCTTTAAAAATTTATATTTTTTTTCAAAAAAAAAATTATATTATCGTTTAATTTCTATTTTTTTCAAAATCAGTCAATTACTGGCTAGAAAAAAGCAGCATTTTAACTTTTATTTTAAAATTTACTTTTTTAAAAATTTGTTATTCAAACATCTAAAAAATTTCAAAAGAATTTTTTTTTTGAAAAAAAGTAATTTTTTTAAAAATAAAAGCGTATCCAAATGAGCATTAATAAAAAGAATAACAAGTATGAATTCAAACATCAGTCATTCAACTCCTAAACAATATTTCAAGTTGATTTAAAACTCTTTTTGGTCAAATGTAAGATAAATGAAAATTCAAATTCATGTAAGATATATGTCAAATTCATGAGACTGTGACAGCGGAGTGCTCTTTGGCGCAGCAATTTCAAATTGACAATTTCCCAAAGTCAACGAAAAAGGCAATTAATCCAATTTAATTTTGCATTTATTAGAAAGAAATATCCCTAAAAAAACTCCTAAATCAATTTGGGATGAAAAAAGAAAAGAAAAAAGGAGGGAAGGTATCTTTGATATGATTAGATTATATGACCGTGTAAAACTATCATAAAAGGGATTTTGGTCATTCAATATATGAAAAATAGTCCATCACAACTTTGCTTACTCATTCTCTCATGTGTTAATAAATATGATTATATCATTGGGATGATTATAAATACAAAGGTGAATTGATGGTGATAAGTGAAAAGAAAAGATAAAAAAAATTATAATAGATAATTATAAAATCATGATAATTGATTTATCTTTACAGGATTATGATTTATTCACATTATCCATTTCCCTTATCTCTATATATACAAGGTTTTTGTGTTCACCCAAAATCATTCATTCTCTCAAATGGCTAATGAGAAAGACTGGGATCTCTCTGCCATTTTCCGATGTTGCCGAACTGCAAACTTTACTGCCACCACAAAAACTCCGCCGATAACCACCACCACCGCCACTCAAGACACTAACTTTTGCATGGCTGATCATTTAATCCTCAGGCAAGAAGAGGATGACTCATTTTCTTTTCCCGTTCCTGAGCCACTTCCAACCAATGGTTTCGATGAACACCCATTGTTAATGAACTTCAAACCCACCACTATCACCAACACTAACACTAGCGGTAATAATATCAAATCCTATTCCACTTTTGGAGAACAGTGGATGCAACAAGGATATCATCCTGTGCCTGCTCCCACAAATTACACCTCCATTGGAGCCTCCACAAATTATCAACCTCAATGGCATGCGCAGCAACCCCAACCCCAACCCTCACAACAACAACACCAGCACAATCAAGTACCTCAAATCAGTCCTGTGATTTTACAAAACATACGACCACCAACACCCATATCAAGAAAAAGGTATATTAAATTTTTCACATATATCTATATACTCTGTTTAGAGGAGAAAAACTTTGGTGCTCATTTTTACTAAAAAAAGCAGAGAAAAAAACTTCTCTTTTTATCCATACTTTTTTTTATATTTACTTTTTAAGTTCTATTTTTTTTTTCTTTTTTAGTAAAAGATGGATGTTCTCGGTGCAACAAAGTTTTCTCTTATTTAGAGGATAAACATAAAGTGATGGTAAAACTATTCTTTTTTATTTAAATCTGCGAAATAGTTTTTTTTGCAATTATTTGTCTTCAGCTCAACCTCATTAATTGAAATTTAATGGAGAGTGATTTTATCTATATACTCTTTGTGATTGAAAGTTCATCGATTCAAATTTGAAAATAATCTTCTTTATAAATTTATAAAGATAAAATTGTGTGCAAAAATTATCCTCACAACAATTTCATATATTTTAGTTAGTTAGGTTTTAACAGAGAAATGAGTGTGATTTACGTTTTAATCAATTTCATTATATCCAATCATATATTTTAGTTAGTTCGGTTTTAACAGAGAAATGAGTGTGATTTACGTTTTAATCAATTTCATACGTTTTAATCAATTTCATTATATCCAAAAAATATAAAGTTTTTATCATATATAAATTCCTATGATATAAAAATAATAAATTTCATTTTTTTTTTCACAGGAAAATCGATCAGGTGGAAATGTTGTGTCATATGAACACGGATAACCTCGAAGCAGATTTGTGGGCATCGCGAAGATATGAAAAATGTATCAAATATTCTGCATATCTAAGGTACATATATGCGAAACTAGTTTGTGATTTTAAAAAATATAACTTTGTATTATTTTTAATGAAATTATATCATTTTGATGTGTATTTGAAAAAATGTAATAGCAGCAGAGAATGTGAAGCAAACATGATAGCAGAGGAAAGCACAACAGAACTGAACATGTTGATGGGGATATCTATGGGAGACGACGACAACAACCCAAAGCCTTTTAGTTTACCATATTATTCTACCTATGAAACTGGTTCAACATCCAACGCGGCCAACATGGATCCACGGAATTCTGAGTTTTGTCCAGTGCAGTTTAGTCAAGCTCTGACAGAGAACATAGATTTTCAAGTAGGTGGTGGTGAACCCGAAGGCAAGGAGAGGCCAACGGAACTTGATGATGACATTCTGATTCCCAACATTGGTACTATGGCAGAGATTGTTTTTGTCAGAGATACGTAAATCTACGGACAATTTTATATTTATATATTTTTTTTTTACAAACTCTTACAAATTATATTATTATGATTATGTCTGACTAGTGATAATACAGTATAATATTATTGGATCAGACATAATGTAGTTTGTAAAAAAATTTTTTTGTCAATATAACCCTATTCTACAACTATAAATATAATCTCACCCACTTTAAGTAAGTTGTTAAATGATGTTATATTAATAATTTTATATATCTTTAACACTTTTTTCTGTTGAGAGAACCGGTTAAACTTGAAAGATGGAGATAATGGTACCATCAAAGTTAGTGTCAACACCAAATCCATGGTGGGTCAAACTATAGAGTTGTCTCGTATGTACTAAAAAAAAAGGTTGACTCGTCCATTAATGATATTCATCAGCTCATTCCCGGTTGACTGATCCGGTTCAGTTAATGTCAAGGAAGGGAATAGATTTAGTACGATATAGTTTGTTATTATACTATATGTCATTAACGATCAGTAATTTTCATCAATTAATATGAATTTCAATTTTAGTACGATATAATCTAATAAAATTGATTAATTTGTTATTATATATTGAAACTAAAACGCAGCATACAGTGCAGATTATGGCCTTGCATGCAGAAACATGAGACAGTGACAATGGAGTCCTCATTCGTTCAGTAATTTCAAATTGACCATTTTCCAAAAAATGAAAAAGGCAAGTAAATTTCATTTAGCCTTTTTTAGAAAAAAAAATCCCTAATTGATATGATTCCTAACTCATTAATTTAGCCTTTTTTTATACAAGTAAATAAAAAAGGAACGTATTCTCTCATATTTTAATTGATATGATTAGACTATGACCATGTAAAACTATTGATCGTTCAATCTTTAGCTTTCAAATTTCTATATTGTCTATTTTCTTTCTATTTTATTTTCTATATGAAAAGTAGTCCATCACAACATTGCTTAATCTCTCTTCTCTTTATATAAACAAGGTTGTTGCGACTTCGGCAAGTGCACCGATCGTACAAGTAATAAAGTGGTAAAATAAAGTTGTCGATCCCACAAGGACTAATGAGTAATGACCAATCACTAATTTACCTATTAAATTAAAGTTGGATCGATCGTGAAAGGGGTTTCTTGAGAATATTTTAATTAAATTAAAATAGGATTTTAACTACTTATATTTAGTTTTCAATATCCAAGAAATTAAATTTATAATTTATAATGCTAGAAAATTGGTTTTAAATTTTTATGAAAGACGTAGCTAGGATTCAACTCCCCCAATAGTTTCCCAACGAATCTACCTATTCTTATGATTACATTCAAGATCAAGTTATTAACAGTTCTTTCTATATTCGATTAAATCTCAATCCCTTGGTAATTCAATCCTTTACTCCACTCAAAAGCCTAATCCCTTAGTACTTTTTCATAAAATAAGCATTAACGCAAGAAGTTACAGTTATAGAATTCACAAGTCTATCCTAGATCATATAAATTCCAGCAATCAATCAATCGGAATTGATACACCAACATCCCTATTGTCATGCATAACTCATATGTTTATCTACGAGTGATCAATTCATAAATAAAGCTAATAATAAATAACAGATTAATTGCATAACTTTAAATCAAGAACGTAAATCATAAGATAGGCAAACAGCGTTTAAGAACCCATTGTTTCCGTCTCGCCCTAACTACTTAAAGAAATTTAGCTACGCATAGTCATAAAAACAAAATTAAAAGCTACTCTAAAAGAAAGAAGGTTCATGGTAAAACTTGTTCAATGGTGATGATCAATGATGCAGATTTAATCTTTTTTTTCTCCTCTGCACCGCTCCAGTATTCCTCCTCCGCTACTGCCTTCGTCTTTGTCTCTGAGTTCTTCTTTTTCTTCGCGTCTCCGAATTTCGAATCTTTTTCAAAGGCTTCGTCTCGTTGTATTTAAAGAGTTAAATTGGGCCTTTATTTCTGGGCCAGCTTGCTGAGGATTAATTTTGATTAATTCTTTATTTTTCTTGATCTTTATCCTTTGCAATTTTAATCACAAATGTCTTTTAAATAATCTATTAAATGATATGATATATATATAGTAAATTGGCTAATGAGGACGTTTGGCATAATGAGGACGATTCAAATCTCTACTGCTGCAAAACTTTGAAATTATCCAAAACCATATCACACGACCACCATTTCTCAAGTATTTTAATATCTTTTAGATTTATTAATTAACACTATAATAATAATCATATTAATCATTCTATATATTGCTAATGAGGACGATTCGCTTATAATATCACACGACCACCATTTCTCAACTTTTGAAAAAAAGTACTTTTTATGCATTGATTTTTTTAAAAGAACTTTTTTTAAAAGGTAAAGCTATTTTAAAGGTAAAGTTATTTTGAGTTTGGATGTATGATCTGAAAATCACTTTTATATAAAAAAGTTATTTGTATGTTAAAATAAAAAAACACTTTTTTTTATATAAAATTACAAAAAGGATCTATAAAAAAAATTAACAAATTTTTGGGATTTACGCAAATGAAATTTGGAGAATGTGATTATAATATCAGAAAAGACGTTCGACAAACTGCTCCAATTTTATAGAAAGATGTTTGATTAAAAGTGATAGGTTGTTGAAAGACCTAATTAAAAAAAGCAGCATGAAATAGTGAGATAAGGAGAGATAAAATATGTATGATAGGATGAGGTTAAAATTGTATTTTAAAAATTTATATTATCTTTTAGTTTGTACTTTTTTAAAAATTAACCAACTACTGGTTAACAAAACAGCATTTTAACTTTTATTTTAAATTTTGATTTTTTAAAAAGTTGTTATCCAAACATTTAAAAATTCTCAAAAGAACATTTTTTTACAATAAAAAGCAATTTTTTTAAGAATAAAAGCGTATCCAAGACTAACTGTTTGATTTCTATTTCGTAAAATATTTTTCTTGTTTTAAGAATAAAAAAAAATTGTTTATTGATCAATGTTTTGTAAAAGTAATTCTAAAAACAACATCTAATTTGTAATTTTTAAAACTAAATTTATAGAACGCCCTTATCATGTTTTGGTTTTATTACTCCCAAAATAACAAAAATACGGAGAACAAGATTTTCATTAATGGCATGATGGTAATAATCTGAAAATAAAAAAGTAAAAGTTAATATTGTGCCACCTCAGTGGCGATATGTTCTTTTACTTTTTGGTCTTTTGATAATTTTTTCAGTTTTTCTACTTTAAAACCACATTTTGGAAACAAATTTACCAAACAATTTTTTTGTTTTTTAACTTTTAAACTGTTTTCAGAATAATGTTATCAAATAAATTTTTTTCATTTGTGGGATGCACTTGTGCACCTGTTTTTCAGTTCAAACCCACCACCTAGCGCTGGCTTTTTGACCCTTATAACTCTTAATTAATAATTAATTATCTTGACCTTCATTATAAACTAATTGAGCTCGCAAAACGTTCTCAACTCATTGCTCGCTTTCCCCAAATGGAGCCTCTCATTACTGTTCAACCAAATCAAGCAATTTACCCCGGTACATCCCTTCCTACCCGGGTAAATAGTTCAAGCAATTTTCCAGATCTCAAGAAATATACTCGGGTACATCCCTTCTACCTGGGTAAGCATAAAATTTCAAAAAATACCCGGGTAGGGAGGGGTGTACCCGGGTAGGCTTGGTGGTCAACGGTCAAACAGGGGCAAATTGGTGTTATGTTTTTTTGGGAGGTTAAATTTTCGAAATAGTTTATAATGAAGGTCAATTTGGTAATTAATTATTAATAAAGGGTTATAAGGGTCAAAAAGTCCCTAGCGCTAGCTGTAATAGTATCAATCTCTATTCTATTTTTTCTGACATGGCAGGTTTCTTTAAACAAGGTTTTAAGAGGGGAAAGAAAAGAAAGAGAGGGTTTTAGTAAGTCCTTCCCTTGTTTGGGAGTTAAAAAAAAAAAAAGGGGAAGGAATTGAAGATTTTTACTAAACCCTTCAAATCCCTCCTTCTTCTTAAAATTAAAGTTCCCCCAATTTGGGGGGTTTGAGGGGGAAAATATTAAAAATTACTTATCTACCCTTACCATTAAAATGTGAAAACTACATAAATGTGAATCATTTTTAAATGTAAAATTATTAAAATGTGAATCATTTCGTCAAAAAATAGTGATGAAATTTTTGATGAAAATCATATACGTCAAAAATTTTCCGTCAAAACTAAAGACGAAGTTAGAGACGGAACAAGATTTTGCCATAATCACTGACATAAATTTTTTACGGAAAAAAAATTCATTCAAATTTATTAATAGAATCTAAATTCCGTCAAAACTTTCAATGAAAATATTTTCGTCCAAAATTTTGACGAAACACATTTCCATCGAAAAGTTTCGACGTAAAACAATTACGTCAAAATTTTTTACGGAAAACATTTTCATCAAAAAGTTTTGCAAAAATTACGAAATATTTCCATCAAAAATTTGTGACAAAAACATTTCTCTAAAAAAATTTGACGGAAAATTATTTTTGTCAAAATTCTTTACGGAATCTAAATTTTGTCAAAATATCTCACAAAAAAACATATTTATAGAAATTTTTGACGCAAAATATTTCCATCAACATTTTCAACGCAACACATTTCCATCAAAAATCTTTGACGAAAAAAAAAAATTCATCAAAATTCTTTAGAGAATTTAAATTTCGTCAAAAGTTTTCGACGGAAACATTTTCGTTAAACTTTTTGACAAAAAAAATCTCCGTCGAAATTTTTAACGAAACACATTTCTATTGAAAATTTTCAACGAAAAATATTTCTGTCAAAATGTTTGATAAAAAAACATTTCCACCAGAATTTTCAAAGGAACACATTTCTGTCAAAAACTTTCGACAGAAAATATTTTTGTAAAAATTTTTGACAAAAAATATTTCTATAAAAACTTTTGACCGAAAAATATTCTGTCAAAATTCTTTACAAAATCTAAATTTTGTCGAAAGTTTCGAATGAACCATTTCCCTCAAA